GCCGAGTAGATGGAGGGAACGGGTCGTTGTGAACTTGTTTTTAAGAAGGAAGATAAGACTGACCCACGGAACTATAGGGGGATCACACTGCTGTTGAACACAATATGAAAAGTGTTCTGTACGCTGCTGAACGATAGATAGAGTATTGGACAAGGAAGGTAGGATACGTGAGGGCCAAGCAGGTTCCCGAAAGAAGAGGGGGTGCGTAGACCACTTATTCACGGTACAATGGAAGAATCATTCAAGGATGCAAGAGGGCGGAGAAGCCGGCGTTTTGCTGTTTCTTGGACGTGCAATAGGCATACGACAGTATGGAGAAATGGGCTTTGGAAATGACCGTCCAATAATGGGTGGGATAAACGGGAAAAGCGGAGAGTGCTCAAGAAGATGACACAGTGTACGAAAAGCATTGTCATGCTAGACGAAGAATTTTCTTAAATCAGCATTGAACAGGGGGTCCCACTAGGTTGCACTTTGTACCCAACGTTGTTCCAGGTGTTTATCAACGATTTGTCGAACTTCGCAAAGGCAGTTGGGAAGGGAGTAAAGGTAGGGGAAACTTCGGTGTCGGGAATCCTGGTTGCAGATGATTTTGTTGGGGTGTCTGGTACTTTTAAGGGACTTCAACTGCAGATTGACGCAGCGAAGCATGCTGCTGATAAGAGGAGATGCCAACGTGAGGAAAGAGTGCCGTAGTGGTATGCAACGAGGATAGGGAGAACCAGTAGAGTATAGATGGAAGTGGGGGGTCGAGGAGCTTTCAGTAGTGGATCAATACACGTATCTCGGAGTAGAGATCGCAGAAGACTGTTGGCGGAATGCAAACATGCCCAAGGTAGCGGAAAATGGCATGGCAAAGGGCGAACAGGAAAGCTGCATCCAATACTCGCAAACCGGCACCTCGATGCACGCATCAAATCGACAGTTTTGAAGGGCGTCGTCGTACCGCCGCTAGAGTACGCCGGAGAAATATAGGAGGAAATATGACGGTAGTCGAAGAGCTCAAGGCGACGTAGATGAAAGCAGCGAAAATCATCCTAAGATGCTCCAAGCGCACAAGTGTTGCAGCAGGAAAGGGCAGAACTAGAGATCAAATCCCAAAGATCGGGAAGAGCAAGGAAGCTAAAATGGCAGTACCGTATGTACGATATGGGAGACGAGAAGTTCCCGAGAACAGCTTGGGAAGCGAAGTGGGCAAACAAGAGGGGTAGACAACCCCCGGAGTGGGTTAAGGTTGTAGATGACGTATGGAAGGAATTCGAAATTAACTAAAAGCTGATACGCTGGAAAAGGTAGGTCTCGAGGGGTTCAAAAAGAAGATATCTGTTACTTTTGCCGAGAGAGAACGTAGTCTAGCCAAAGAACCAATGAAAGGAGGGTCTAGAGAAAGATACGGTTGAAAAGGGGGTACCTTCGTGGGCCAATGGACCCAGGGCAAAGCTGAAGGTCAAAAATAGGACTAAATAGGGACGCTGGCCTTCGAGAACGTAAACGAAGACTTAGGAAGGTGGACGATGACGACAAGTTCGAATGTGAATGCGGCTCCGAGTGCGATGGCCGAGTTTATGTAGTTGCGGAATGTCCGTTGTTACGACAAGGAGAGAGAATTGTGCGTGACTAAGCTGGGAAAAGTAGAAGGTACAGGGAGATGTTGGAGGCATTAAATAGCCAGGAGAAGGCGGTAGCTGCACTGGGACATACGAAGTGGGTTGAAAGGTCGGGAAGTGATATAGACAGGATAGATTGGCTAAGAAAAATCTGTTAAGCCACTTTTGTCAAAGTAGGAAGGAACGATTGGCCATCGGTGATCGGTCCTTAGGAACATTGCTCCGTCCTCTCGAGGACCCGTGGTCAATGGTCTAGGTTCTAAGGCATGCAAAACACGAGAGAACGCCCCTTCCCCCCACCCCCCACCCCTCTTTTCTATACGACTTGGGCAAGAACTTCACGATAAGCAGTGTTGTCAGTGCTATCAACCCCGCTCAGTACCGCAAACCTGCAAGTGCGGCAGCAGTGCGGTAGTTTTTTGCATACAGGGGCATCACCCCCCCTCCCCCCTCAACACCACGCCCCGTGCACCTTCGTGTGCGTACGCACGGTAGGTAATGTTTTTTGTAGGCAGTGCTAACACGCACACCCTTGTTTCCTCACAACTTCGGTTCCTGCAAGTGTGCGTAAGTGGTATCACACCCCCTGGTTACTACTCCCCGTTCCTGGCTCCCGCGACCTGCACTTTATCACCCGGGCTGCACTAGATAGCACACCCCCCACAGAATACAACATCCGTTGATGTGTTTTTTGAACGCCAAATATTTTGTCCCCGAGGTGTTGTCGTCTTGTGTCGTAGACAGCAGTAGGCACCTCTGCTGGTACCCCGAAAGACTTGACAGCAGAAGTCATGGTTTCGCTTAAACAGCTTGCTTGGTTGACCACATACCCCGATGGAATGCCACGCTCCCCGCGAGCGGCAGCAAAGGAGTAGCGCGCTCCAAGTATGGAAATACTCACATGCATAGGACACGTGTGTATGCATCACTACACCGGTTTTCGGGCTTCGGTGCATTTCTCTCTGGCGGCAGGGAGTCCTTTCTCACGCTTCCTTCTCAGGAGAACGCAGGGGGCTCGTCGGTACACCACCACGCACGCCCGAGGACCGCCAGTCACAGTTGGCGCGTGTACTTGACGCCATAAGCTGCAATAACTGGTTCTATTCCCCGGGGATGTGTTCCGCGCAAAGGAAGCTCACGGAACGAAATGTCGACAACCAGACCAAAATGCGACCAACCCACGGCAGCGGGATCAACCACCGCTGAGCCACAGAGGCAGCACTGCGCATGAAAAACATGTGCCATCAGAGGATCTGTTGCCGCGGATCGTTGTGAGAGGCGCGCAGAAGCTGGTTGGTACCTATCGTACGTGCCTGGGGCTCACAACGCCAACTGCTGCAGTAGACACAACACCGACCGACAATTCCCGATTCCCCGGCGGGGAATTTCGCGAGGAAACGGAATAATCCGAATTGATGACAGAGAATCTGCGAGGAAGAGCGACCACCGTACAAATACCCGCCGAAAGAATGTAGTTAAACAACGCAGGAGTCTGTGCTAGAGCAGCAGATCTACGGCAAAAGACGCCGCTGGCGCACGCGAAGAGTTACCGTGAGAAGAAAAAAAATTCCCCGCAAATTGACGCGAGACATGGTCTGCAGTTTGTATCGAAACCGTGGCACTACCGAAGGTTGAAATATACAACGATACAACCGCAATAACAGTGGCCATGTCCTCTTGCGTCGCCCGAGGAAGACAAGGCGCCAAAGTCCCGAAGGGAAGCCTTGTGGTTGTGCACGTATCATTTCAATGTTTTTCGTGCTTCGGCACATCTCTCCCTCGCCGCAGCGAGTCTTTTCTCATGTTTCCTTCTCATGGGCACGCAAGAGGCTCGCCGGTACATTACCGCGCATGCCCAAGGACCTCGAGGCATTCGTGGCACGTGCAATCGATTCCTAGGTCGCCGCGACTGGTTCTATTTCACCGGGAGGCCTTCCGAACCAAAAATGCCTTCGCAATAACTACAACATATATTTGCGTAAGCAGGAAGACTTGCGATTCCTGCGCAACGCACACACACGTTTTCACACACCATGAGCAACACGGTACGAATACATGAGAACCAGCGATCAAACGCAGCTGGTCACAACAGTAGGATCGGCGTGTGGTAGAGACGCCGCTACACTAGCCTAAACTCACACGCTTCACGCACATTCGAAGAGCACGGCGAGAAAAAAAAATACACACACATGACGTCAACTCTGCAGTTGGGAAACCGGTAGCTACCAACGGTGAGATGCAACGATTTCAACCGGGATGTCCTCTTGCGTCGCCCCCGGGAGGCAAAATACCAAACTCCCGACGGCAAGCCTTATATGATACGCATACCTTGATGTTCGGTCAGTTTAACAACCCGAAAGTGATACCTCGCCAAGGTGTAGCCTAACTTTTCTCCGGAATTAAGGCCGCAGAACCCCTTGCATCGAGAATAGGCGCGCGACAGTGGAATCACAGAGTCTATTCTCTCGCTCTACGAAAGACTAGATGAAAACAGGCTTATCATGAGTGGACACTACGTTGGACTCACTGCAGCTATCTTGCAGTGTTCCCACCACAGGATGTGTGCGTACCGATGGAGATGACTGCTCCCAGTTCTCGACGTACGGGTGTGCTTGAACTCACGTCCACTCACAATTACGGGTGTGCTTGCCTCCCTCTAATACTCGATGCCATATCTCGTGCAGTGGCAATCACAAGGTGCTGGATTAAGTATTGGAGTAACTGCTACATTCGTTCAGCAAGCCACCCTAGCTCCCATGTGATCGGTGATTTGTTTATTCGTGTTCTTTGATTGTTTTGACACACTTCCTGCCAGCCCCAGACACGGGGACCATGCCAAGTTGGTTGGGGGGCGTTGTTCGGTTTGTCCCTCGACGGGTCCATTTACTCCACACGCAAGATCGTGCGCTCTTCCGTTATGGACTGCCTGTGTGTAGTGTGAGCTCTCCTTGGCTTCTAAGTGCCACAAAGATGTATGGCACCCTCAACCTGATTGGGTATGCATGTTATGCACAATGATTCCAGGTGGAGTTGGAGGATGACGAGACGTGCAAACTCAAAAGCTCCATCGATGATGAATATGCACAAGCTGGCATCAGGGACCCGAAAGTGTGCGTTACCACAAGTCGAGATCCATCGAGTAGACTGAAGCAGTTCGCGAAAGAGCTCAAGCTAGTCGTCCCCAACGCACAACGAATCAACAGAGGAAACCACAAGGTGAGAAGCGCGTCACCACGCATCCCGATTCGTTGTTTTGCTCCGATGTAGGCCGTTTCAGTTTTGCCCTGTTTACGCACACCACGACCAAGGTACTTGCGTGTTCGATGCCAATGGCCGATGATTTGTCTGGTCGCGGTGTCATGAACTTACGCTTCCATGTCGTATTTTTCCGTCCTACATGTCCACCCCCCCTTGCAGTTTTCCACCTACTGTACGGTGTTGCTTCTCTATCTGAATAATCCGATCCGGGGTCACAGAAATATTCTTCTACAGTGTTTGTGTGTTGGGCGTTTGTCGCGAGGAGGATTTATTGTGTTTACGTCGAATATTAATATTTTTAAGCACATCACCAATGGGTACGGAATCTACCCCGCTGGGGTTACTTGAGAAAACCCGGGCGACCGGCTCCTTCTGTTTCATATTCGCCACTTCGGCTCCGAATGGGGGGTTTTATGTCTTACCGTTCACGGAGGTCACTAGATCGACTACGGCCACCACCGCAGCACAAGCCAAGTTCAAGTTTTAGGTAGCATTGCCATTTGTTCGAGGTGGTGATGCCTGACGCCTCACATTGCCCCTGGTAGATACCAGAGATTTCCAGCCCGCTCGACCCTGAGCCACAGCATTGCTCAGATGACTAGAACTTTACGTAGAAACTTGGCCTTGTATCACATGGCGCTCTCTAATTTTGTTGATTCGGAATGCCTTGTCCGTACAGGTCGGTGAACTTGTTGGTGCGTGCCGATCGAGCGAGTTTACGGACATGATCGTGGTGCAAGAGACGCGCGGGGAACCTGACGGGCTCATCGTGTGCCATCTGCCTCTCGGCCCAACGGCTTTTTTCACGCTTTCAAACTGCGTCCTGCGGCATGATATTGCAGACCGCGGCACCGTTAGCGAAGTCTATCCACATCTCATCTTCGACAAGTTCTCGACACCTCTCGGGCAACGAGTCGCAGACGTGCTGAAATACCTATTTCCAGTTCCAAAGGTGCGATATCTAAAGGTTTCCTATCCAGGATTCTTTTCCAGGCCTTGAAATCTTAGTTGAAATATTAGTTGACATTTTACACTACATCGTCACAGCTGGGTTGTGAGTCTGCGTCGTAATGGCGATTTCGCTCTTTTGGCAGGAGAAAGCTTCTAGTATTAACCGGTGCCAAGGACTAGATAATTTGCAGTCCGTCGTTCGTTGTAGGGATACCACTATGAAATTTCTCGGGATTGCTTCACACGCCGACATCTCCGAAGTGCATTTTCAGACGGATAACAATTTTGTTTGTTTGTCCCGCGCGCAGGCCGACTCGCGTCGCGTGATGACTTTCTCGAACGAGGAGGACGTTTTGTATTTTCGTCATCACATGTACGAGAAACGAGGTGGCAAGGAAATGGTGCTGCATGAAGTGGGACCTCGCTTCGAAATGCAACTCTACCAACTCCGACTCGGCACCCTTGATCAGGTCAGAATTGGTCGTCGCCCTTCGTTGAGATCTCAACGCTGCAGAATGAGATATGGTCTCGTAGTTGCTCTGCTGTTTGTTTGTTGTCGCCCGCGTACACGCGCAGCACGTTTTCCTCACTGCAGAAGCACGAGACAACCAACCTCGACAACCTCGATTTGATTGAAATGAAGCTTGATTTCATTGAGAAGAAGCTTCGACGATTTGGAATCTCGGGGAGAATAGCTGCCATCTTTCTTCTGGGGGATCTTCCTATGCGCAACGTCGGAAGTCCTTCTGCTGAAATATGCAGGGGCATGGCCATAGACAAATTAATACCTCCATTCTGAAAACGCAATCCCGCAGGTTGAGGCCGAGAACGAGTGGGTGATGAGGCCCTACATGAACTCGAGCAAGAAGCGGCGGTTCTTGTAAGAATTAGTGTCTACTTGGGTGATAGGCAAGCCAGGTGCTGCGTGGGCTCAGACGTTCGCATCGCCTTTCGAATCTCCACCGGTGGAACGCGATCATGATGGAGACGCCGCCAAGAGTCCAGCCTTTCTAGAATTTATCTTTTGACACTATGTGTTGCCCGCTCTAAACTTGAGCGCGGTAATTTCGTGTCTTCGGGTTGACGTATGCCTATGTGTGCACATCGTGCGAGGAGCATTCTCGTACACCCCTATACCCACGCAAACTCCACATGCTGTTGTCGCACACGGCCGAGCAGACAGAGGGAGAGAACACAACCAACGAAAGTGTGACCGCGCATCGTTGTTGCATGCACATGACTGACTGGCGCTGACAAAATCGTGTAAGGGGTATGTTGGCCTGCAGGACATGTTCCCGTGGGCTGTCGAACGTCAAGTGCCCAGACGAATTCGTGGCTTTCGGTAGGATGAGGCTCGATTCAGAATCTCACATGCATGCACAGACCCTCGTGTGAGTACAACACAGGGTCCATGTACGCAAATGGTGTGTGCTGCTCCAGAGGGGTAGCTCCCCATGTGGTATGGCAACGTCACAACAGCAACCTCTGGTAGTCGGCAAACGGCGGACCTTTCGGGTTTGTTTGCGGTGTGCGTCAGAGATTCGGTTCCATTTTGGCAAATCTACCGTTAAGACGCAACACAGGCCATTTCGATTCGGATTTGGGCAGATGCAACTCATTTATTCTTATATTCCATTTTGAATCGGGATTTGATTTCTTTGATTAGACCTACCCTGAGGAGGTTGAGTGCCTTGTATTGTAATAACTGCTCTGCTTGCAAGCACAACCTCGTCACACATAGTGGTTCTCGGCAGCTACGCTCTACGCGTCGTTCTCGGGAGCTGTGTCTTTCACGCATTCGATTGCGATGCAAGCCGTCGACCTGCAGGATTGAACCCAACCATGGACGTGCAAGGATATGTGCGTGGAGTGCAGCAAGTTCGGAAGTTGACCTGTGGGGGTAAAATAAAATATGAGAGGGAGCGTGTGTTTCTAAGAGTAAGACAGACAACAACGGACGCGTTTCTCAACACCTGACTCAAACTCGCAGGAGGGGCGGACGGCGCCAGGAGGGACACCTCTTCCAATCCACAGGAAAAATCTGTCGATGGAATCTCGAACAGTTTAGCGAACCTCAACGAACCAAATATATATTTTTTACAATACAAGGTTTGCAGGCACGGGCGTCAGGCGCCCTCTCCTTCAGAGCTGGAAGGAAAGGTTGGTACGCGTGAAGACTGTGCACAGCATACCAAGGACCGCTGGACAAGACGTTCCGACAACAATAAATGTTGCGACATAACGACGGAAATTCGAATGTTATACAAACTTGCATTTAATTCAACCTTGCGGAACATTTCATCGATTTTCCGCTCAGACACCTAACCCCACCCCTTTGCCTACCACGCGGTGGACTCTGGCAGATCGCCCTTTCGCCTCACAAGAGCAGCTGCGGCACTCTTACTCTTTGTTGCTACTTGCTGCTGCCGATGTCGTACTCCACTGCTACGTCATCCCCACTCTTGCTTGTCCATTCGCTGCTGTACAATTCAGTCCCGCGCCACAAGCCCCAGAGTTCCTTCGTTCAACCTTTCACATTATCCCCGACTCTGTGTTTGTACTTCTTATTAGGGAATATGCGCCACCAGTGTGCGCGTTGTTCAGTCTAAGTATCAGTGGTATCTGTTCAAAGAGGCACTGCCAATGAGCACATTGTTCTGTTTCAAGTTTTTTGTGGGTCACAACATGTTTGAGTTCACGGTTTTGGCTCGTGTGCGACCAACGAGACACCGAGCGCCCTGTTTTTGGGTCACCTGCAGAGGGCACGTCTAAAAAGTCAACACCAAACACACACTTCGGTTCACGTTTGCAGGAAGTGTGCAATCAAAAACTGTTTCTGGGACGCGAGCGGAGGGTATGTGAATGTATGTCCACCCGTCATTGCCTGCAGTTTGAGGATGTCATCGGCCTAAAGCCTCCCTCCGGTATTCGTTTTTGACTGGTAGCGGGTCACACACGGAGCACACACGCGGCGGAACAAGAAAGAGTCCAAAAAATCAACACCGAAACACGCTTCGGTTCACGTTTCCAGGCGGTGTGCACTGAAAAAAACTGGACACTAAGCTCTGTTTCTGGGGCGCGAGCAGAGGGTATGTGTATGACCACACGCCATCAGCTGCAGTTTGTGGATGTCGACGGCCTAAAGCCTCTCTCTGGCGTGCGTTTTCAACTGGCCACACATACATGCAGCAGGCAGAAACACGGCTCTTTTCGGCCGAAAAGCAAGAACGTCAGCAGAGCAATGTGGCAGGGTTGACGTTTTCGGCTCGTGTGCGGCCAACACGGCGCAGAACGCCCTGAATTTTAGATACCTGCAGAGGGTTTGTGGATAACCTCATGATACTGGCCTCTGTTTGGCCAGCAGAAGGTGTGGTTCCTCGTTCTGACACGATCGGGGTGTGACCAGGGTGTGACCCCCCATTTCTAACAGTGATATTACAACCCGATCGCTGTTTGAAAATGGGCCAAATTTCTGACAGGCCGGCCGGAATCCTTGGAAATATTCGGGGTGTGAGAATTTGGGCTGTGAGAATTGGCCATTTTCCTCGGCGTATGCAGCCCAAATAATGTTTTGGGCTGAGGAAAGGACCTTCCCCCCCAAATCCCAAATCCAGTAAACACCATGCGTAAGAAACCGCCTCATCAGCTATCCAACGCAATTCGTTTTTGGAAATCTGATGCCGGGGCAAGAGTATTTTATTATTTAACATTTCCCTCACAGAAACTCCCCTCCGCCCAGAGCATTTTTTTTGGTGCGGAGTGCAAGTGGTTTATCGAAGACCGGCGAACAAAATGGTCGAAAGGCGACCGCAGACTGATACACCGAAAATTATCATATTGTTTTTAGAGTGTAACCATAGTTGAACTCTGGCGTCTCAGGGCTCAGACGATATTGTAGTTCAGTCTTTCGAGATTTCCATGGGACTAGAACCGCGCGTTACATGCCGGTAGGAATAGAGTAGACAAACAAGTGGTTGGCATGGGAAAAGTAAAGTATTTGGGGGTTTGCGGGGTCTGGTGCCCCACCATGCGGATCATTTACACGCTGCAAGCTTATGTATATCAGGAGGCTTTTCGCCTACTTCATTCACGTACACACGCGTAGAAATACTCCCGAAAAAGGGACGGCACTGTTTTCTTCGGTAATGCGCTGGGCCGCCATTCGCCTGTCGCACGCACCTCACCGTCCGATCCGGTCCGTGCCGATCACAGATTGCAGACGGCAGAACACAGATGATCATGACGTGTACAACTCAAACTTTCGATCAGAGGCCTTGACTATTTGTTCTCAGACGCTGCAACAGAAGTGACGAGTGCGGGCATCATGTCGCCGCCGTAGACACGTCCAACAACACACTCGCATACTGCGCTCGTTTTTGTCTGTCGTAGTTGGGGTCAGTCCGATTACAGATTGCAAACCGCAGACCCACCGATTGATTACAGATTGCAGACAGAAGACCAGTGATCATCATTACGAATACAACTCACACTACAGATCAGAGACCAAGACTATTTGTTTCCAGACTTCTAAAACAGCAGTGAGAGTGAGTGCAGGCATCAACATATCTGTGCCGAATGGTAAATAGTATTCACACATACACCACGCTGGGCGCACAACATATAATAGTAACAACATATAATAGTAAGTATTTCGAAGTAGTACACACCCATGCCGGGCATCTCGCATGCCGCGCCGTTTTTGTCCGTCGTGCGCTGGAGACGGTCCGATGCCCACTACATATTGAAGACAGCAGACCGCTGGTCATCAACCCCTATGCTTCACCTCAAACTACAGATCATAGGCCTTCACTGTTTGTTCTCAACGTGCAACAGTATCTACAGTCGAGGTCCCTCTATAGTGCGGGTATGTGCCAGGCGATTCTACCCGCACTATAGCGGGCACCCGCACTATATAAATAAGCGCCTAAATAGTGCGGGTATGCGCACTATTCGCGATATTACTAGGATAAAGGGTAGGACATAGTGCCATAACGACGGTTATGAAGGTGCCACTGTAGTACATACAACCAACAAGGGGCTGAATAGGTATCAGTGCCGCCTCAGGAAAAGAAACCCGAGTTTGCTCAATGGTATTAGGAGAACACGTGGGTCGTGGTGCAAATTCAGCAGTGAAGCAGCGGTGTAAACAAAATCCTGTACAGCCGAGAGGATATTTGGTCCACGACATGTTGTAAATGTTAATGTTCGGTGTCCCATTGTTTTATAGTGCATCGACGGCTCCGTGGACGTTGAAAAACAATCACAAGGAACCACCGTATGATGAAAGCCACAGGAGATTATCCAACAAGCATTCCAAAGCGAACAAGTGAGTCCACGTGCATAAAGGAACACAACAAAAGCCGACACCCGCGGAGAAAAGACAGGGGAGAAGACGTTGATCAATGAGAGAACAGGCGCATACTCGCACAGGCGCAATAATCCCGACACACAGTAATTCATGCAACACATACGTGCAGCAAAATATCTCTCATTGATCTACGCGTCAAAATACGCCCGGACGTCAGTCTGACGAGATGGCTTAGATGCATGCGCTCGTGCGCGGCGCACTTCGGTCCGCCTTTTTGCCTCCCACGGCTTTCATGCGTTTTGGGATGCGGCTCGCTTCTTGCGGCTTCCGCTTGCCCGTGGCAGCCGTAGCGGCTTGTTGAGAAGACAAGCACGTATGACAGATGCGATTCATTTCGCTTTCGCCTTCTTCCTCCACCTCGCCGCATATGCCGTGCAGTCTGCCTCCGCATCCTCCTCGGCATTGGTGACCATCGGGGGCTTTAGGTGTGA